TGTCATTGTTTAGTCCATACATACATGGATCACAAAATGTAACGCGAATCGGAGATGGAAACAAAGGCGCAAAATATCCCAATAAAATACATAATAAAAAGAATTTAACTGGAACCTGTGACGTGGCTGACAAGGGGTTCGTATCCCGAAAGAAGCTTTCAGATATTAACCAAGATTAACCAAGATTACACAGAAGATATACGACCAGTGTGTTTACGTTGTGGGAGGTCAAACCCAGTGAATATTCGTATATACGGACATGCATATTCACAGAAAGAAATTCGTATTTGTTTATCTATCTGATATATGTATGTGTATGTGTTGTGTATGTATGTGTGTGTGTGTGTGTGTGTGTGTGTGTGTGTGTGTGTGTGTGTGTGTGTGTGTGTGTGTGTGTGTGTGTGTGTGTGTGTGTGTGTGTGTGTGTGTGTGTGGTGTGTGTGTGTGTGTGTGTGTGTGTGTGTGTGTGGGTGGCGTTTAAGCAACGAGGCGTATAAGAAAGAGGTCGTTAATTTAATCCACTCATATTTTCCGTCTTTATTTCTCTCCTCTATTTCGACTTTGAGAGAACGACTTACGAAAGAGAAATTGAAATGTTGGAGGCGAATGGGAAGAGAAAAGTACACTTCCTTTACAACGCTACGCATTTTAAAAGAATTAATCAGCAATTCTTTCTTTCTTCCTAGTTTCCTCGTTGCGAAGAATTACATATATAATCCGAGAACAGACAACTCTGACCTTCGCCCTTGAACACGTGACTAGGAAAGCTGGAGGTCGCCTGGTCACGTTCAGGTCATACCCGACCGTGATGTTCGCTGTTTCGAGATGGGCTCCGGAGGTTCGCTGTTTCGAGTCTGCTTCGTTCCCGTCTTTGAATCTTTGCTCAGGTAGACGATACTAAATTTAGATTACGGGTTTTTTCTTCTATTTGTTCTTGTATTGTTGAAAATTTAGATTACGAGTTTTTTTCTCCTATTTGTTCTTGTATTGTTGTTGTTGTAAACTTTTGTTATCATATCACAAGCGTAGAAACTTTTCAACATTTACGACCCAGACGAAAATTGTGTCATAACGAGTGCAAAGAGCAATCATTCGACTCGGATATTAAGTACAGCCTCGGGTTCATCGTTTCCCGTTTTGAAACCTGAACAGGGGAAATTGAACAGTTTAGTTCTATAATACGAAAAAAAATGAGTGTTCCCTAATAACTGCTTCGTATCATCAACTAAGGTAATCGATCATAACACACAGATCGTTTTATTCAGTTTTAATCCTATTTTTGGTCTCAACCTTTTAACACTCGCGATTTCTCGTTATCAGCTGTTCTACTGATATTTTTCTTTTTTATTCAGTTTTAATCCTATTTTTGGTCTCAACCTTTTAACACTCGCGATTTCTCGATATCAGCTGTTCTACTGATATTTTTCTTTTCTAAATACACGTTTAAGGGTTAGGAAGAGAGAAATAAATCTGCAAATCTGATTCCTCCAAATGTCATACGAAATTCTTAATCTGAACTATTACGAAAGCTCAATAAACCAGCCCAGTATTATGTAAAATTATTTGGAATGCCGTTTTCATATCTCTTTCATATATTAATTAATTCGAACCAGACTATCCTAAAAAATATATCTCGAAAGTTATTCCTCCTTAACTAGTATTTTTTTCCTAGCTATGTGTGTCAATTTTCTTGTGATGATGGAATTGTTTTTATCTACTGTGTCATCAGTTATTGTGTTCAGTAAGAGAGAGAGAGAGAGAGAGAGAGAGAGAGAGAGAGAGAGAAGAGAGAGAAGAGAAGAGAGAAAGAGAGGAGAAGAGAGAGAGAGAGAAGAAGAGAAAGAGAAGCGAGGAGAGAGAGAGAGAGAGAGAGACTTAGAGAAAGAGGAGTGAATGTCGGGCTCATGTGTGTGGAGAAGAAGGCAATAGAGAGAAAGAGTGTTTATGTATGTGTATGTAGGTATATATACATATGTATGTATATATAAAAATATGCATGTACGTATGAATTTTATTCAGCTTTTAAGAGAGTGAATACACACAGACACACACATACATGTGTGTATGTAAACATATATACATGTATATATTTTTGTAAACAGCTTTTGAATATCCCATAAAAGAACTTGTTTTCTTTGAGTTATTCATCGGCGTCCCCACCGCCCGAGGACGAACAATATATTAATATATTCTCCCGCAACAGAAGCTGAGCCCCAGAGCCCTTCCCTGAACTGATTGGAAGCCCTTCGAGTCCCGGTTTGATTTCTCTTAGGCCTACCTGGCGGTGGGAGAACCTCTTGAAGGGGTCGAGAGGGAACGAAATGACGAGGTAGCGGTCCAGGGAGATGGCGGACATCGTCATGATGGAGGTGGTCCCCGCGACGCCGCTCACGAAGCCGTAGAGGTCGCAGCCTGGGGGGGGGAGAGGAGCAGGGGTTAGGTACTGGTGATCAGTGGGTAGGGTGCGGCCACTATTTTCATCTATGTGTGTGTACACACA